ATTATTCTATTGGCTCAAGGATAGATCTCTTGCTAATTTTTCACCTAGTATGGCTAATATTTCAGACCCGGATCATTTGTATCTCTTCGCACTTAACAGCGGGGCTCGAAGGGGATCCTGTCTGGACCCCCGCTAGTGTGACGCTGGATAACCAATCAGATCCCGCCGTCGAAATGACAAAGTACCATGATGACGTTGTGGCCTTGGTTCCTTAGGCCAGACGGTGCCTCTTCCATGTTTCGCTTTTCGAAGTTATTCCCCATTTTACCCTGCCTCAGTAAGCCAGTGGTCCTCCGATCAACAATCGCCCTCCTCATTTTCCAGCGACGATCTGTCGAGATCTGGCCCAAAAAATTATACCTGTACGGCCTCCCTCGAATTCTTGAGCCATGTGCTAGTGAGAACGATGAACAAACCATGAGATGTTAGAGATCTCGGATTTTAGCACAGCAGGCCGCAACCCCTCCCCCGAGATCGCTATGGCGCAGGAGCGAGAATTCTACAAGTATGTGCCACGTATCCGCTCACCCAAGAGAGTCGGATCATCTAATTTATTGCCAGGTATTGCCTGCTGCCTCAACGTCCAGGTCTCCTCCATCGGCCACCCCCATCTCCTCGGAGCGAAATCGATGCGGAACTGCTACCACAATCATCACAAGACACCACTTTGACGGCGCTTGCGCAGCTTGGAGCTTTGCGATTGAATGCCCGACGATGCATGATCTCCCTGTTTGATCGTCATACGCAATATATCCTCGCTGAATCGACTCGCACGTTAAGTCTCCAGGACGACAGGGTGCATGTTGATGGTGATGGCTTGTGGCTGGGCAGCAGTGTCATTCCCAAACCGGATGGGATCTGTCACTATTGCTGCGAGGAGGATCAGCTCAACGCCGGACCAAAGGGTCCGAATGGAGGATATTCCGCATTGGTCATCCCGGACATGACCAAGGACGACCGGTGCAGCAAGCGACAGTATGTGGTGAACGCCCCGCATCTGCGATTCTATGCTGGAGTCCCTATTATGAGCCGTCGGGGCATTGCCATCGGCGCATTCGCAGTGAGTGACGGTCAGCCTCGTGCAGGCTTAGATCTGCTAGAGATTCGGTTTATGACGGACACCGCGGCCGCCATCATGAACCATCTGGAAATGGTACGCTCTCATGAACAGAATCGCCGCGGGGCCAATATGATCGCAGGATTGGGAAACTTTGTCGAGGGGGCGACCTTTCCGTCGAGCAGTCTCCGAAGGAACATACACACTCACGACGAGGACGAGGAACAGCAGTCAGAGAATCCACAGATTGTTATCCCACAGACGCGACGGCATCACCAAGCGCGGGCGGACGGTCGCTCCACCCTCAAGGAACGAAGGAACCACAAGGAGGCTGCTGCATCTCCATCAGGTACCACCATCTATCCTAGCTGACGATGTTGAACAGAAGCATCTCTAAACTGTCTTTACAGGATCTCATGAAGGACAGGAGTCTGAGACACCACCTCAAGTCTCCTCCACACCCAACCACCACCGTCAACCGGAGGTCACCCTGGTGTCTGGTACAAGAGAGATTATTTCACGCGCGGCTCGTGTCCTGCGCGACTCTTTAGAGGTGGAGGGCGTTGTTTTCTTCGACGCCAGTGTTAACTCTTACGCGACTTTGGTCCGGAACTCGGACGGTCGCCAATCGGACCTTGAGGGCAGTAGTAGTACAGGTGACGCTAATTCCAGCAGTGACAGTGACAATCCGACTACCGGACACTCATCGACCGAAACTGACGATTCGACCGTGTGCGAAGTGTTGGGGTATTCCACTGCGCAGGACGATTCCGAGAAATCGACCGGGCTAATGCGAGAATCGTTTCTTCGGTCTCTCCTTCGCCATTATCCGCGTGGTGCTACCTTCAATATCGACGAGAACGGTGGGGTGTCATCCAGTGAGGGAAGCGACAGTGCCTCCGCAAGCTACGTCTCGCGAGAGATCGTTTATTGTCGGGACGAGGGCTCCAAGGTCCAGCGACAATGGAAACAGAGAAAACGGGAGCGAGTGAGCCTCAAGGAAGAAAACAAGGCCCTGATCAAAGTGTTCCCCGCGGCCCGCAGTGTGACCATGTTCCCTCTCTGGGATTCACGGCGAAATCGCTGGTTCTCGGGGCTGTTTGTGTGGACGGCCGCGCCGCGCGTCTTCAGTCTGACAGGCGAGTTGGCCTATCTCTACGCCTTTTCCAACAGCATCATGGCGGAGATCCATCGGCTGGATATCGAGTTGGCGAACAAGGCCCACGCCACACTCGTTGGAAGCATTTCTCATGAATTGCGCAGTCCACTTCATGGCATTCTCGGCAGCACGGAATTACTGACCGATTCCACGATGACACCCGCTCAGGTTGCTCTGGTCAATACCATCGAGCACTGCGGTCGGTCGCTGCTTGACATCATCAACAATATGCTGGACTTTGCCAAGATCAACCAGTTCGCTCGCAAATCCCGATCGTCTCGGTTCAAATCTACGTACGCCCCTCGTCGGCGGCCGGGGTTGCCTGCACGCATTGCTTCCAAAGACAAGCCCGGCTTGGGGGTGGTCAATCTGATCTCGGATGTTCAGCTAGATGCAGTGCTGGAAGAAGTGGTGGACAGTGTCTTTGCTGGTCATTGCTTTTCCGCCAAGGGGGGGCTCGTTGCCCGACCTGCTCCACATGTCCCTGCCCGGGATAGTGACGGAGGTTTAGTTATGAGAGGTACTGCAGAGCGACCAATTTCTGCTTTTAATGAAGCACTCACCATCATCTACGATGTGGAGCCCGGTGTGCAGCCCGGTGTGCAATGGCTGTTTGAAACGCAGGCCGGTGCATGGCGTCGGATCCTCATGAACCTCTTCGGTAACGCCCTCAAGTACACGCAGTCGGGTTACATCTCTGTGACGTTGACGTGTAGCTCGTCGGCGTCCAACCCTAAGATGAAACGACTGGCTCGTGGCGACGGGACACGGGAGGGCATGGGCAGTGTAACTTTGACCGTCAAAGACACCGGGCAGGGCATCGACAAGCAATATTTACAGAGCAATGTGTTCAAGCCGTTCTCGCAGGAAGACCCTCTCTCTCCAGGCAGTGGTTTGGGCCTCAGCATTGTCCATCAGACCGTTGTATCACTCGGTGGCAAAGTCGACATAACCTCCACCAAGGGCGTCGGGACGGAGGTGACGGTCACGATGGATCTACCGCGCACTCCTCAGGCAGAGGTCGCGGATAACGAACGCGACACCAGTATTGTGCGCAAAGCCAAGGACCGAGTACGTGGCAAGTCGATTGGACTGATCGGGTTCGGATCAGCCTCCCAACAAGAAGATGAGGCGCTTGTTCTCTTGCGCTCGTCCCTCCTTCGCATGTACAAGGAGCATTTCGGGATGGAAGTCAGTCTCGTCTCGTCGAATGCGCCGGGCCAGCCAGTGTACGACCTGTATTTGGTCCGACAGGCAAACCTCGACGAAGTGGATCAGATTTGTCGGCAGGTCACAATGGCCGAGAGTGATTCGCGCAGCCCGCCGATGATTGTGATTTGCGCGACACCTCAGATGGCGCAAAAGCTATCGACCTCTGCAAGCCAGCGACCGTCGACGTCGATCTACGAGTTCATCAGTCAGCCATGCGGACCGTCCAAGATGGCTAATTCCCTTCTGGCTTGCCTCAAGCGCCAAAGGGAACGGCCGTCTTGTATTTCGGGTGGCGGGACCGACACAGCGTTTCTCACCGCGGCTCAAGCGAGCAAACCCAGGCGGCAGAGTGAGAATGTGTCGCGAGTCGACTTCTCCTTGACGCCGGAGAAGACCGTAGTTTCAGTGACTACCTCTAACGTCGATGATTCCGCTGTGGAAGTATCGACGATAGAGGCAACCAAAAGTGTTCCCTCCGTGCTCTTGGTGGACGACAATGACGTGAATCTGAAGCTGTTGGTCGCTTTTATGAAGAAGGCCAAGTTTCCGTACCATACCGCTTCCAATGGGCTCGAGGCTCTGGAAGTGTACAAAACGAATGTCGGGTACATCCCAGTGGTTCTCATGGGTGAGTTGTCCTATTACCACAAATACTATCGGTCCGTCCAACTAACCGAGTAGACATCTCCATGCCGGTCATGGATGGTCTCGAGGCGACGCGGGAAATCCGCCTGTTCGAGAAGATGCATCGCGAAGGAAGCACCAATGCCGGTCATTCGTGCTTCAAACCCACGACGGTTATTGCGCTGTCGGGATTGGGCAGCGCCCCGGTCAGGCAAGAGGCCTTTAATTCTGGCATTGACCTCTTTCTGTCCAAGCCGATCCGCTTTCAGGAATTAGTCAAGCAGATCGACGAACTCATGCATTGATGTTTTGTTTACGTCGATACAGCATTGGTCCAGACAACCTAACCAAGCACAATCACGCATTAGGATGGCGGAGTTGGGCGTTTGTCTTATATACTCAGGGATGGGACACTAGGAATGTAGCTAGCAGGCAGGTAGTTCTTTCATCTTCTGGCAAAGGTAGCATCATTGCAGTTTTGGAAACCTTTTCAGCAGAATCAATCTTATGCATGCCTTAGGCCTAGGCATGATGAGGAATTCACGTGCTGTCTTATGCCCATAATTGAACAGACTGAGCCAATCAGACATGCAGGATGAGGTGGGATCACACGGTCAAGGCGTGAGGTTACATCGTGGCAGCACACTAGCGAATCAGTACTGCTCGGGTATTTTGCGATGGAGCAGAGGCTGACGTGGCTACAAAGGTTAATCAACTAGGAATGTCTGCAAGCGCCTAAACGAATACATTTTTTCGCAGTCTCATCTAAGATGTTATCGGTCGTATATCGTTAATGAACAAGGGAGCAGTGATCTCGACCAGCGACAGCACTGTCACAAAATCTGAACAAGCAAAAAAAGAGCTTCCTTGGATGTGCACCAACACATCTAAACAAGGATGCTAAGAAAAGAAGCGGAGAAAAGTACAAAGCCGGAAAAGGTGAGCAGTTTACGCCTTGATACAGTATTGATATCCCAGCCAGAGATTCGTGCACGGCTCGTCCAGCCCAGTGTTCCATTCGAGGAGCTGCGCGGCGGTGATGCCGGTCTCAGCCTCGACCTTGAGACAGTAGTCGCCTGTCTGGACGGTGTAGTATTCCTGGCAGGAGGATGTGGCGTATGGGTAGATGGGCGCAGCTGCGGACGGGCTGGACGACGCAGTTGGAGCGTCGGTGGGGGTGCTGGCCACAGGTGGCACAGGGACCGGGATAGTGGGTTCAGGGGTAGGGACTGTCGGGGTTGTGGTGCAAGAGCTGCTAGAGGATGTGGTAGGCGCGGTGGTGGGGGTCGTGGTGGTGGGGGTCGTGGTGGTTGGAAGGATTGTGGGGGCCGGAGCGCTAGTAGTAGTGGGGGCGCTGGTGGCGGACGAGCCAGCGCCTCCGGAGAAGGCACCGGAGACGGCCGACGTCAGCTCGCCAATAGTGTTGGAATCGCAGCTGCTCGGTCCGGTAGTCCAGCCGGTGAGACGGTTGGCAATATCCGACACGTAGCAGTGAGTCGCGATGCCCTGGCCGAGGTTCTTGGAGGGGGCGAGGGAGCCGGAGTTGTAGATGCGCGCGGCGCGGTAGTACGCGGCCACATCGCCTGTTCCTCCGGCCTGAGCGAGACATTGCTTGAGGCCGTCACCGGCTGCAGTGCCCGCGGTGCCATCGGTGATCATCTGGGTGATCTGGGAGGCAGGGCAAGGAGTCAGAGGGCTGCCGCGGTTGCAGGAACCCGGTCCATCGTGGCTCTGCATGAGACCAGGGTTGACAACCCCGTTGTCCGTCGTGGGGACGCGGACACAACCGTTGCTCTCCTGCATGACGATGGCCAGGATGAACCGAGCATCCACGCCGGTGGAGCTGGCGACGGACTGGATGCTGCTGCACAGGTGCTCAATCTCCTCGTCAGAATTGTTTTCCACGTTCCACTGAGCGCAGGAGCTCTTCAGGGTGATCTTGTTGGCCTCGAACCTGTCACAACATCCCAGGTTAGCATCTGACAAGGGGCTTGCGGCATGAATACATACATCTCCTCAAAGGTCGGGAACCAGTCGCTCATGGACGGCCATCCATCTGTAACTTCACCGGTGCCACCGAGGACGGTGTAGCCTCGCTTCTGAAGGGACTGGGTGGAAACTTCTGTGGTCACCTCGCTGGAGGGAAAGGACGGGACAGGAAGCCCAGAAATGAGAGTGGGAAGGCTGCCAGCAGCCAAGATCTAAGCCCAGTATATCAGTACGCGGTTGCGGTAGGAGTTACTGCTGTTTATACTTACAAAGGGAATGACCAGCATGGTGGCTGTACAGAAGTGCCCGGCACGAAAGGAAGGGAATGACAGAAGTCTAGCTTACCGATCAAAGGGAAAAGGACGGAAAAGGGGGGGAATACATGGCTCTTATAAGCGTCGAGTCGATGGTCCCTTCTCTGGTGTGCCCTGACCCCTCTGTTTCTAGCAACTGGGGCATTTCTCCCAAGTAGCAGTATTTAGTCCCCATATTCAGATACCGAAAGGCTAAGCTTACCGGAGTAATGACCATATCCAATCAGCGATGAGTGCAAGGCCATCCCTGCTGAACATGAAACACGCCGTCTGCTCTAGTCTGCCCGTGATTGGTTTGGTGCCTGTCAATCTCAGACCCGAACACGAGTTCTGTGGCCCGGTCACCAAGTCATGTAGTTCATTGGTCAGCTTCTTGAGTAAGATCACAAACTCAATTATTTAGTCCGTCTTCTCAGCGCCTGCAGACGCACCGTGGCAAATCAGTAGCCTACTCGACAGTCCATACAGAGCAGTATGTTGCCTGTGGCTCGTCTCGGCTCAGCTCGCTTCATTCTCGACTTGTCAACTTACGTGTCTCATTATTTAGGGAGAGTGCCAAGTTTCATCCAATCTTGCCCCTCCTTGAGTACGAAAGACCCCTACTTACCGTTTGTATCTGGTTCGTTAGGCGTGCAGTGACTACGCCGATGCCGTACACCTTCATCACTTGTCAGTCTCGTCTCAAATATTTTCTCCAGCCAGCGATTAATTCGAGGATTTACAGAGCATGACATCTTCATGTGTTCCGCTTGTTCATATCACTTCTCCTCACACCTGACCCACTTGATGCACTTTGCTGTGGTTCATTTGTCGTGGGATGAATCTCCCGCTCTGTTCCGCGGTACAACAGCATCTATCTACCACAGGTTGCCTGCTCTGACAGCTCATACCTCATTTACGAAATAGATTCCAAGTTGCAACTCGACAGCCTGTTTGTCACTTTCATAGGTCGAATTTTACAGGCGTTTCTGCCCGACCGTCTATCTTGTCGTGGTCAGGTGACCTCACGGGTTCGAATTCGTCTCGACCACTTTTGATTTGGTGTAATCACAGTAATTATTATTGATTTAACCCAATTGAGATGTCCTCCGTAATGATGGACAAACATAATCATACAGTAGCAACCGAGTCCGACGTGGCGTTCGTATCTAATTACGGTCAGTCAGCCTACTTGCTTGGGTAAGGTTACATTTGTGTATGGATGTTTTGCAGATACTGATGTGCTCGGCATTAGACATGCATAAAGCATCGATTCATATATTAAATGCTTGAATCAACTGCCTGGCCTGTGCCTGTGTATCAATCACCACAATGCCAGCATCCAAGACAGATTCAATCTGTCCGACTCCGGCGCCGCTATCGAAGATCGTCAGCCTCTAAACGATTTCAAAAGACGGGGAATCTCTTACGCCCAAACGATAGCCGGGGGTGCTCTGACCGTATCCAGATCCTTGTTCTTGTTTGACTCAGCATCCCATTTCCGATGGACGTCTGACACAATCGCGCGCCCGGAATATTGGCTCGGCCAAAATTCAGCCCTGCTTTGAATCTCGTCATGCACGCGTGATCTACCAGCAATCAGTCATTGTGACTATTCACTTCAAGGATGCGAGGGATTGTACTTCAAAGTGGATGAAGCGCCATCATGAGTGGCAATCAAAGTGGCCTTGACCTGCTCCGAGGCAGGGCATTCCGTGGTGCATAAAAACTACGAACAGTCAGTTGTTAAACCCAGCTTGTTAGCTAACTCACTCTTGTTCCCATCACAATTCCACTTGCACCTGGACAGACACGGTGCTGTTAGCTCTATCCGCAGTGATCGAGTTGAATTGCCTCGGTCTCACCTAACATCAAGGCAGCTGCGACTCCCCTGCCATCCATGATTCCTCCAGCTGCCAGCAATGGAATGTTCTTCGCTGGATATTCTCTCCTGACCATATCGGATACATCCGGAAGCAAGGTCATCAGACTAGCCCCCTGCTTGAATTGATGGCCGCCGGCATCGGATCCTTGAACAGACAGAATATCGGCCCCATCATCAATGGCTTCTTTAGCACTTTCCACCGTGCCAACCTGAACAATCACTTTCAGTCCCCAGTCTCTGCCTGTTTTCTGCAATGCCCGAATAAGCTCCGTGTGCTGCGAGCGGCGGGTGCATGCAAACAGCCAGACCGCTACCGGTCGATGTTCATTGACAAGCAGGACAAAGTTATCCTTCCAGATGTCGGACTTCATCGTGAGACAGCCGACTCCAATGGGTAGGGGTGCATTCAAGTCAACAATACCAAGGAGCTGCCTAGCGTAGATCAACTGTTGCCGGAGATTTGCCAAGTCTGGGGATGACGCAGTGAAGTCGGCTCCGCCGCCAATAAGACCTGAATGAGGAATGAGTCGTCTTCTCCATATTACCTGCTAAGCTCGCACCTAATCCTCCAGCTTTGGCTACTGCCACTGCCATTCTGGCATTTGTCGAAAAGGCCATCGGTGCATTGCATATCAGCGGCCGGGATGTCGCGGGAAAGAATTGCTGAAGTGTTTCGGCTCCGGTGGGCATGATGGTTGATATGCTGTGATTTCACAATAGAGAAATAGAGAAGGATATCAGGCATCTTAATGGTGAAATATATATATATATACATATGTATATTATTGTGCTGGGCATCAACCATAGTATCTACTCATACTAGATTAGGTTGAGTGCTGACGCCACTCGGCCGCTAGGGCTGACACTGACGCTGAAACTGACGGATGCAGGACAGCAAATACCCATTCCTTGGCCAATGTAACTTGTCAACGTGCAGTTGGAATGCGGATCCTCTTGACGGTCCACCTTTGACTGTCATATTGTTTTTCGCATCTGAAACTACCACTCTACGGACTACTCAGTAAGGTAGAGATTGTAGTACGACATCCAAGTCATGGTGCGATGGCTGTTGAGTCAAGTATTTGTCAGATAATTGATAGCAGGTATATTTGTAATGATAAGGTGCTGATGATATAATGCTGAGCTATAATGTGCTGAGAACATCCATATAATCTTACCATGTGAGGTCTTCTCATTTATTAGTACGAACGACTGTGTCGAGGACGATCTGGTACGAAATAAACACTGACATATATCCATCAAGCCCAGGTTATGCTTTGTCGTCTGCTAGAATAGCAGTAATTATATACAGTAAGATCCAATTCAGCTCCACATTTCTGTTCTTCTATGTTTGCATCAGGCACTCTAGCATTGAATCCAGGTCAGAACAATGGCATCCTGGCGGTATTCGCATAATCCACATTTTCAGCCGCAGACTCGATTCGTTCATAACAGGTTCCAAAGATCCGATCCCAAAGACGAGTCTGCTTGCCGTAGTTGTGACTCTTCCTCCAGCCCTTCCGATGGTGCAAGTCATGGTCTTCAATGACAATTTCGGCATCAAACCACTGCAGCAGCCAGCTGAGGGGTGATGGGACAGTGAGATGCAGGCGCAGGCCGCTGTGTCCGAACACCTCTGCGAAAACAACGTACTCATGGCAGATCCACCACTCGTAGAAGCCCATCGGCAGACCCAGCAGCCGCAGGGTGAAGTAGGTCATCATCGGCACCCCGACCATGTCGCCGAACTCCTGCTCGTTGGTCCGCGTATGCCGTGAGCAAAGGATTGGGGTGCTTGGTGAGGTGGTGAGTGCGGTGATACTTCCAGAGGAAGCTGACGTCGTGCATGAGGCGATGGTACCAGTAAAACCAGAAGTCGAGCACGATCCCGTACAGCCCAACCTCAATGGGTAACCAATACCAGTTCATCTGTGCGGGAAGCTGACTCGTCTGATAGGAGAAGTACACTGATAGCGCCAAGCGAGAACCGGTCGTTTTGTACACCGAGGCCACGACCTTACCGACCCCGACGTCGGGAACGCCGTCTCGTTCATGTTTGTCGCCGTCCAGGAAGCCGTATATGTGACCGAGTCGGCGGAGTATGTGTACCTGGTAGATGACGATCGCATTGAAGGCAAACATATACAGATTAAAGGTGGCTAAAGGACCCAGGTTGCGTCCTGTGTACCATGCATAGGCCTGATGAAGCGCCAGTGGTAGGGACGAGTAGAAGATAACCCAGAGGTTCATCGACCACTGCGGCATGAACGGGATCGGTTCATTCTTGGAGTGCACCGGTACCTCTTTGTCCAGTTCTAAAGGGTAGGCGTTGAGTATATGGATGAGCCAGTGTCCGAGGCTCCAGGTATCCCTGCTGGCAGTACGCCAGGTGGACTTCATCGAGTCTTTCGGGTTGCCTTTGGTCTCCATGGCTGCGATGGTTTCGGGGGCTTTGTGAATCCGTAGAAACCCTGAGCGATGACCCGCTGTTTAAATAGGCTCGTCGGGTTCAGTTTGCGGAGGCGTCGGCAATCTGGAGATACCAGGACATGTGAAGAGGCCAGCAACATCCCACAGCGCCAGTATAGGTGGATCTTGGTTCCCAACAAAATCTGTTCCACATATGAATGGAAGATTAAGCCCGTCGATCTGGAAACTAATCCTTAGCGAGCTACCGTGGATGATCAGCATGTGAGCTTGATGAGAGTATGTCACTCTCCACACGAGCCACCCCGCTTGGGGTACAGACCTACCTCAGAGGTCCAGATAATCAACAGGTCGAATACGTTAAGTATCCTGCTCGAGAATGGTATCTTTGCGGCGAGTTTGGCAGATATCCAGTCATCAACCTGGAAATGCTTGGGACCCCCAAGAGACAACACAATGTCGGCCAAAAGTATTCACAATCCCATAACCAGATTGTCGAAATTGAAAGAGGGGAGTACTCAAACTATCCCATCTCGCATCGGCAGTTTGGGGAGCCTAACCAGGGTCCGCCAATTTAGCGTTCGCAACCATTTCCAAATCGGGTAATATCTCAACCATCCCGCAATGATGCTATGTTTGAGGTTGGTCTATGCTTGGCAGTCAAGGATGAAGAAGGTCGCATTCAAGGATGGTCATTGTGTTTTATTATACTATGTAGATCGCAAGTGACAATCAGATCAATCATCCGGACAGCGACATGCGATCACAGCCACAACCAGAACTGCTTTCACAAAAACCCAACGATTTGGCCAGGGTATGTTAGAGTCCTATATCACTCGTGGGATCAACCGTCAGATTCTGAGTCACTAATGTGGATCATTGTTAGATATGACGGGTAGCACTACTACTTGAGGTTTGTAGCCAGTCAGGTCAACGTGAACTGGGAAATCCCGTGAGTATGCGTCGATGGCAGGGTGAATCCCGGTACATGTGAATGGATGTTCGTAACTCTTGTGATGTCAATCAACAGACCCGTCGGGGATTCGCCGCGCTATGGAATCCCGGGGAAGAAAGGCTATCTTGTGATTGTTTTGAGAACCGTAGTCAACCAAGCGGCAAACACAGCAAAGAAATCCGTTTCATGATTCGTCGCTCTATTGCAGTACTCCAGCAGTGCGATATATCGTTCCCTAGCTGTGCTTCCGGTTGCATGTAGAAGCTTAGCACAATCAACCGGGCAGAGGTACGGCGGCTGCCTTGTGTCCTCTGACAGAGACGCGCTTCCCTGCATGATGCATGCGTAATAAACACAATGATCAATACCAAAACAATGACCTAGCTCATGGCTCGCTGTGCGACACATTCGAGAAAGCCAGAGTGATGACAATAACCGTGGTGATGAATCGATGTTTGGGAGGGAGGACATTGTAGATAACGCGACAGATAACGGCGAAGGAACCAGGGATGACGATTCACTTGAGGTCTTCCGCCGTTTGGTGTTCGCCACGTAGGAGGAGCTGTATTTTCGGACGTAGTCGTTACAATGTGATGCCGGCCACGAATGCTCCCGCTCTACTGACTGGAGTGAGTCCAGGGTCGGACAATACCTGGCGCTAGAGACCACTGCGATGCGACTTCCACCGTATGCACGTCCGCAGATGAACGTATCATCCGCGTCCTCATAGAGATCATGGTTCACGAGAAGACACAAGGCATACGCATCCTTGGGCAGTATGCTTATCGCCACATCTAGGAGATCGTCGAGGTTCAATTGCCGAGGGTAAACTTTGTCAGGGCATGCCCGCGTCCGAATGCCAACGCACTCGTCTGAAACAGCTAAACCAATGAAGCGGGGTGGGCTCTTGGATTGTTGACCATCCCAAGGAACAAAACGAAAGTCAGGTACTCGAAGGAGCTTGACGGGGACCCCATGGTAAAATGCCGCGAGGTAACCGACGATGTCTTGTGGAGTAGGCCTTACTAACTGATGCTGGGCCTTGCCCACTCTTGGAGAGGTCCATGCCTGCGCAAAACGGGCATCTTCATCATAGTCGGGTGGCGCGACAACATAGACTGTCCTTCTGTCCGAAGTGACTTCGTTGCGATCCTCCTCGTCCAACCACTCTTGAAAAGATTGCGGTGGGTACTCAGGATCCAGTGCAAGGTCATCGCCAGGCAAAACCAATGGAGCTGGATATATGCTCGGATCAATACGGCCGTATTGTCCTTGGAATCCTGCGGGTCTCGTGGCCGCAGTCCTTTGCTTCAGACTTGGTTGTTTATAACCTACTTCAGCAGCATGAGGAGAGGTCTTGTAACACATAGAAGAATGCAAGCATCTCCGTTCTGAAGACATTTCTGATAGACGGATTGATGCAGCATATTGCTGCCAAATAATGAAAGTATTTGTGTTTGTTGACGCGACGCTGAGAGTGGCTGAAATGCGGCGGTGCTGAGTGATATGGGTGGATGCTCAGCCACACGATAACAATCACGTGACCACAGCGTCGACAGTGCTCGCACCTGACTCATTCGTCCACCTGCCGCTTTCATCGTCAGGCATCTCTATCTGCACCGAACCTAAGCATGCAATGAAATGAATTCACTTCATCATCAAAATGGACCGACAAATTGAAGATGCTGTTCAGCAGCAGTATTGCAAACTCCAGGAGCAACTTGACGAGCAGTTCGAGATTCGCGACCGGGCCCTTAGGCAAGAATTTGGCAGGGTGCACGAAAGGATTGACGATTTAATCAAGGACAATGAGGCCCGGGACAAGGGCATTAAGAGAGAGTTTCGCAATGTTTATGAGAGAATGGACTCTGGGTTCTCTCAAGTTGATGAACGTTTCTCTCGAGTCGATGAACGCTTTCGACACGTAGATGAGACGATGGCCACAATGTCGCAGAAGCTTGACAAGATTGACACATTGGAAACATCATTTGCGACCTTCGAAGCAATGTTTGGGAATTTCAAGGTGGCCCACCTTAACCAAAGGATACAGGCCATCCCTGTATTCGACTCCTCTCATCAACCAGTTCCGGTTCCAAAGTGTTTCCCCAAAACGGCTCTTAGACTCTATCGACTGCAAGATCGGAAGAACTGTACGTCATTGTCACACTCTATTGCCAAGTCTTAATCTTGCTAACATGGAAAAGGGAATCAATTGAAGACCCTTCTCAAGCATTACAACCTCGAGAAAGCGACCATTCGGCTTGTCGACCGTGGAGAGCTTTACGACTCCTCCGACTCCGATAGTGATTCCGACACTTCCTCCCGTTTCCACTCTATCGACGGGGAACTTGACCGGGCTATCGAGTCTAATCCATTTGCCGCCATGTGTTCGCTGGGCCGTCATCTTGGCGTGGATACAGACGCTCTCCATGATCGGATCACGCAGCTCGAGTTTCAGCAGAAGAAAGGAACTGTGGCCAAACGCCCAGCGGAAGATGTGGGAAGTGTTCGGAAGATGATACGAGATTTGGTCACGGGGGCGCTGCAGCCTGGCTCGTTCACGAGAGCAGACCCGCTTGATGATGACTCTGAAGGAAACCAAACCAAACTAGAATGGGAGGTCGACTCGGAGAAGTTCAGACGGGAAACGGCTCATCTTCGCCTTCGTGATACCGAGGCCTCGCCCCGTCCAGCCAGCGCCAAAGAAAGCCGGGGAAATCGCCCACAGAAGGATTTGGAGGTCCGCTCACGTCAATCCAAGGGCAGTCTGTCACCCACCGAGAAGATGACCGCATCAAGCAATCAATCAGAGGGTCATTAGCTTTTTGCTTGTTCTATTTTTGATGGTTTTGGCGTTAGGGAAGCACATGTATACCCGGTCTGGCTTCTGAGGATTTTGGTCGCTTTTGGACGGCGTTTTGGTGTATCTAGGCTTAGTAGGACGTCAGCTCATGGAGGCGACTCCCCCGGCATCGGCATAACAGCCCCTAGAGAGGGCCGCTGTATGGGTATGAATACTACTACTTCTACTACTAGCTGTAGCTGGCTGCAAGTCTGCGACCACCTAAGGCGTGCGGAGCAAGCAGTATCTATGCTAAACAGCAGATATTCAACCAAACTAATTTAATTCTTAATTAGATACTTGCTAGGGGGTCTAATTAGCTAATCAGCCATAGGCCTTATGGCTAGTATTAGTATCTAGTATCTACTCACTCTTATAAGATTAATAGTTAGTTACCAGGGGGGCAGGGCCTCCCAGACCCCCCTCCTTTTACTATATATTAGGAATTTAGAATAGTGGGAATTATATATTAATTAAGAGAGTAATTATAGATATTCTGGGGGGCCCCAGGCCCTACCTCTATGAGGCTATAGGTGCTATATCCAGTGCAAGAGGGTTGCACGTGATAACAGTTTTTGTGAGCCAATAAGAAGGTAATGTTTTGGACTAATCAAAAGGCCAGAAAGCCTAGTTCTTCAACTAATCAGATTGAGCGCCAAGACAGGAAGGTAAAAGGGGAGGCAAGAAGACATTGGATGCTTCGCTTCGCTCCGCAATTACCCAGACATTAGGTTGTCATTTTCACAACACTTAGAATTTACCGATGCGATGTACACGTCTCTATTTCATTGTTGACATGATACACATTAATGCAAATGAATGACTACAGGTGTCGGCACTAAGCCCGCAATTCGGGGAATGTCCCCATCATGTGAAGCAGGGCGCAAATATCGCTCATTGGCTGCAGCACCAGGCCGAATCAGGTATACACGCAACAGATATCGGAGGAGGAGTTGCTCCCATTCGTTGGTAGCCTATCACTAAGGTAGGTAAGGGTAAGTGTTATGTACTACCGTACCTAGGTATCTTTTTCTGGCTGATTGCCGGGTCCGCGTTGTCTGGTTCAGTTTACCCCTCATGCCTGAGATCATATTACTGCAGAGGATAATGGAGACAAGGACAAAGCTATATAAAGATTGACGAGTCTTGGATTTGTTTCCTTGTCGTTGTAAAGATACACCTCTATCATAGTACCACATCATACCACCATGACCATTGTCGACTGGCAACAAAAAGCTCAACTCAAGCAGTCTGAGGCTGCTAGCAAGATCCCTCCAGAATGGAGACTCTCTTCGGATACCTTGACTGCCATTCCCAACGACTCCAATATTCTTGACATTCCCAAGAAGTGCGGTATTCTTTCTGCTCGCGAGCTCGACGTCACCGAAAACTACGACGCCACTGGTCTCCTGCAGAAATTGGCGTCAAAAGAGCTCAGTGCCGTGGAAGTCACGACGGCCTTTTGCAAGCGTGCTGCCATTGCCCAGCAGCTTACCTTCTGCCTGACTGAAACGTTCTTCGACCAAGCACTCAGCCGAGCTCGGCAACTGGATGACCATCTGGCGGCCACAGGAAAGACCGTTGGACCCCTTCATGGCCTTCCCATTAGTCTGAAGGAGAGCTTCAACGTTGCTGGCGTGCCAACCGGTCTCGGGTTTGTCTCCTACCTGGACCGTCCGGCCCCAACCACAAACTCGGCGTTGGTCGATATCCTCCTCGCCGCCGGTGCTGTTCTCTATGTCAAGACCAATATCCCGCAGACCATGATGACAGCAGACTCGCATAACAACGTGTTTGGCCGTGTCCTCAATCCACACCGCCGCAATCTCACGGCGGGGGGGAGCACAGGCGGGGAGGGTGCTCTGATTGCCCTCCGCGGCTCGGTGCTAGGCATCGGCACCGACATTGCAGGATCCATCCGCATCCCGGCGCTGTGCTGCGGGACAACCGGCTTCAAGCCATCTGTTGGCCGGGTGCCAAATGCGGGTCAAACACTGGTCGGCCGAGCCGGGATGGTAGGAATTGCGGCCGTGGCAGGGCCTTTGTGCCATTCCCTCAGGGACGCTGAACTCCTTCTCCGGACTGTGTTCAACTCGCAGCCGGAGGATCTCGATGACAGCGTCCTAGGCTTTCCGTGGTGTGATGCGCCCTCAAAGGACGTCCTCACCATCGGCGTCATGGCAGAGGACCCAAAGTACCCGCTTCATCCGCCCATGCAGCGGACTCTGGCTCTCACCGTGAAGAAACTCGCCGAGGCCGGTCATCGTATCATCGACCTGACCGGAAAGTTGCCCAGCATCTCTGATGTCTGTGAACTGTCTTTCCGATACTTCAACATGGATCCCGACCGGACGGCCTTGAAGAAGATCTCCGACAGCGGCGAGCCTCCAATCCCCTCCCTGCGCGTGACATATAATCTCGACCAGCCTGGACCGGAGCCGACATTGCGAGAACTGTACGATATGAACGTGATGCGGGGCGAAGTGATGGCAGAGGTTCGGAAGACGTTCCTCGAGAATCAGCTGGATGTTATCATCGGACCAGGATACCAGAGCTGTGCTGTTCCTCATGATGAATATGGGAAGCCACCATATACTGTTTTCAGCAACTTGCTCGATGTAGGTTCTAATCAATATGATGCAGGAACGTCGCTGACTTGTCAGTACTCATCTTGTGTTCTTCCCTTTTGCAAGGCGGAGGAGGCTGCCGACGCCGAGTTTGTGAGAGATGTCCAGTACATCCCAGCGTGTAAGTACTCTCTGGTTTTGCAGAGGACTGTAACTAACCGGGAAATCTAGACAAGCCTAAAGAAGTCGAAGGTGCACCATGCCACGTGCAGATCATCGGCAGAAAGCTGAAGGATGAAGCCTTGATGCAGCACGCCAAGGTGATTGAAAGTATATTATCGAAGTAGGGGCCATATCAGAGTCGTTCTCTGTTTCAATGATAGTATGGCCTTGTGTTTCTGAATGTGATATATTGTACCGGATAGTCGATCAGCATTGGAAAAGTGAGCACCCCATGAGCTAGTAAGGGAGGAGCGGATCAGCAGGGCATAACAAGCACATACAGGAATTGGCTGCTCAACAGTAGTATCACAATGATATTAGTCCACGAGAAACTAGAACCGATGAAGAAGAATGCTCTATATATCTGACACAATCCCCACGGAATACTTCCGGAGACTCGTCATCATGCTACTTCAAGGTCAAGACCGTGGAGTCCAGATGTAGATGGGATGCTTAGCCCGACAGACTGTGTTTAACTTGCGGGGGTTCTCCTTAATTTGCAACTTGATGGACATCGTTGCTGTAGATATCCCACACCGACAGACAGAGATTCTTCATCAAATCTGGCCTGATACTGTTGACCCACTCCCTTGAAACGGACGACGCGGCAGGTCTCAGTATGACATCTCCATGTTGTTTCGAGAAAAGGAGACCTGTTGCCAAAAAGATATAAAGCTGCCTAACAACCATCATCCAACAGACATCGACAGCATCGCAATCCACCGCAATTATGTTTTCCAAGTCTCTGATCTCCGTGCTTCTCGGCGCAACCCTTGCGCTGGCTACTCTTGACCCAGCAACCTCCAACACCAAGGGCAAATGTCCTGGTACTTACAACTGCTCCGGTTAGTACGGCTTCTTGTGGTCTACTGAGTCGAATTAACTGACAGTCCACAACCGCAAAGACCTCCACGGCGATTCAAGCCGCGGAATGCTCTCACAACACGCGGACATCTAGTATGTACCTATCCCTCTCCTTTAGACGCTGCATCCTCTAATACTGAAGCAGCAACACAAACCTTTGCGGTCTTCGTCACCGACCACCAATATGACTCCGCCCATGGAGCTCCCTACGCAACCTGCAAGGCGTACACCTGCACCGCGCCCACTGATTCGCAAATGACCGATGTCGACGAGGATTGCTGGACATTCTTCTGGAAGTGAGTCAAGACCAGAGGCAATTGCGATATACTGAACTCTACAAATACTAACCCTATACAGTGACAATGGAGAGTCTTCCGGCGTCGGCACCGGTTGCATTAAGAGCCCCGATGACGGTACCTGTGGCTGCGAGAACTCCGACGGAACTTTTGTTTATGGTGGAACCAATTGCTCTTAGACTTAGAGATTGAGTTCCAGTGTCGGAGATATTTGAGTGTTGTAGTGATTTAGACCAATGTGGTCGTACAGCTGGCAGGGGAGAAGTAGATGTCTTGCCAAATATTGTCTTTCAGAGGGATCAAAGATCCTGACAGCAAATCTGCAGAGGAAGATGTGCTAATACTGATGAAACAAACGTGCACTTGTCTGATCATTTCCGACACCTAGAAGATACTGTAATCTCATCCTCAATGACGAGGTCATTGTTCTGATCTTGTCCAAATGGCACCTGACCCACGATGCCAGCGCACGGCGACTACCCAGCAATGCGATCTTGTCATTCACAACCCGAATTTCATCTGCGGTGACCGCGACAGACCCCAGCACAGTCAATGGCCAGAGAAGATAACCGATCAAGAACTTGTCGGGATCGATAGACCTGACCAGGTCAAGACCCTGGCGTAGAAGAGAAGAAATTCGCCCCTCGGCCTCCTCGGACGGGGCGGATATATCGATTCTAAAGGGAGGATGCGCATGGCAAGGATATACAGCATACATCCCTCGTTTTGAGCTTGGGGGTTCCTTTCCCACTGCAGTAATTCATCGTGTAGTCTTTGCCAGGCAAATATGTCGGAATGGCAAATTGGCCCCGCGGCGCGTGCCAGCCGTGTAACATCAGCAATCAGCAAGAAGAATTGATACAATGTGTCCAATATGGGCTGTGTGGACGGATCCTCGGCAGGCTCATTTGGTTCCGGTTCAGTAAAGTAGCGATCAAGGAACATTCGGCAGTCTGGATTGCTCAGCGCATCAAACGTTGGTTCAAAGAGCATCATGAGCGCGCTGTGATAGAGAAATGATTCCACACAAAGCCTCTCGAATGTCCTGACTGGTTGTTGATTTCTCTGTGCCGGGTATCGTGATGTCAGAAGAAAGCCGGCAGTTGTGGCATGGGGACCGACATTTGGTGGTGAATCAGTTCGGAAGCTCTATATCACGTCAGTATTCATTGGTTAACTGCCACGAACAGACAACCTTGTAGACGCAAAGACATATCGTCGTAGCTAATAAGCCATCCTCATTCCTGGCGTCGTTGGCATCCGCAATGCTGGCACGAAGCTCCCGGATGGCGAAGAGGTAGCTACGCATGGCCAACTGATGGTGATTCGCTCGGTCTACGGCAGCAATGGCCACCATAATGCCCATAAGAGGAGGGAATTCCAGCCCCAATCGCAGTATGTAGGATTGATCCGTGTATCGGGACAGGCAATTCTGTCGCACCAGACGCGGATTCACAGAGGTCGCAAAGTAATGATAATACTCATCAGGACTGTCTGGTGGAAATGAGAGCAGACTTGAAATAGAGGCTTGATGACGCCGTCGTCGTCTATCGACCGGCTGTGTCGCTGCGGTTGGCCAAGTGCAGTCAAGTTGACCGCGACAGCATCCCCCACATCGCGGTCGGTGTTCCTCGCACTTTTTGCGTCGTTGGCGACCTGGTAGGTGAGCGGTAATCTAAAAACTCCAGGGCAAATGTTACATTGGAGACAGCCTGTTCTCGTTCTGAGTCTTCCTTTTGATGGATGATCCATCGTCGAGAGAAAATCGACCGTTTGAAGGCTGTCAGTGCAGCTTCATCTTCAGGAATCCCCCCTTTTAGTCGGCACTACTTTCTTCATGGTATCACTTAACTTTGATAAACTAGGCATTCTTCATTGATTTAATAGCAAATACATATCCTCCTAACTACAGAATTAAACCTCTCTTGAATTTCCCATACCATCGTTAATTATGACAAGATAGTTCTCTTCACATTTACACCCGACAGTATAACCTCCCAGTTACTGCCACCTCCCGGGAATGCCGCTGTCAGGGTCACACTCTCCCCCTTGAAGATAGTCACATAATTATCAGACCAAATCACTGGAGTGATCTCCTCCTGCGTCTCCTTGTTGATGACTGACAGGTGCATGAAAGCGGCAGGGGTTGCCGAAGGATTATTCAAGACAACCTGCACCTGGGACAGACCGTCTTTGGCAGGCAACGGCTTCAATGATGCAGTCACGGTGACAGTCGGCATCGATATCAGTGCCTTGTAGTTGACATACTTTGTGACGGGGGTATAGTACCAGTCCGAATTCTTCCAGTCCAGGACGTCGTTCTCAGCGGACAACCAGTATACATTGCGGCTGAGGATGGCTCCTGTATTGGGATCTTTGAGCGCCAGACGGAGAAATGCGACGTCCTTGATCTGAGGGACTGCTTTGACTGGGATAACCTTCTTGGACGCATTTGGTGTGGTCTTAACTGTGACCTCCTCGCTGAAGATCGGTTTGCCATGGAGATCAACAAGGTCAACAGAGACAATACGAGGCCCTTGCTTATCAAGAGAACGATTGATCAGGTAGACTGCACGCTCCTCATAGTCATACGCCACGTGTTCAATCCTTCCACCGACCTTGGTCCCGAAATATGCGCCAGCTGGACTCAAATAATAGTCAAACAGCTGCCAGTGCAGATTCGGCCATGCGCTGTTCAACATCCAGTATATGACTCCAGTGGCCGGACGAGTGGCATTCTGGCGCACGGAGAACGCTTCGTATTCTGCACGCGTGGCCTCATAGTCCATCATCTGCACCTTGAGGAGATAATCCTCCAGGCTGACAGGGGCGCCGTACCGCGCGAAGAGAGCTTTGTTATACAGAGCGCGATTATAGAACGACGAGTCATACCGCGACATATGATACTGGTTTTGATCGGGGTTCTTCCACAGGGAATCCAGATCCTCTGGCGACAAGAACTTCTTTAGACTGGTCAACTCGGGCGTTCCAACACCAGCACCCTGTTCAGACCCGAATCCAAACGCAGCACCCAGCTGGTCACCATAGAAATAATTTGGTGGCACCCAGTCATACGGGCCATCCATCTTCATCCCAGACTGCCCGAGAGCCTGTGGATATCCCCGTCTGCTGGCGGACGCAATGATTGGCACCGGCCAATCCATGCGAGTCAGCGCATCGAGATATATCTGGGTTGCACGGTCGTCGGGCCAAAAATCGGATCCAACTAGAAAGGCTAGCATGGACGGATGGGTCTGCATCATTGCTGCTTCGTGGAGCATGGATGCATTGGCAATGAGGTAGTCCTTCTCGGTCCATTTTTCTCCATTGCCTTCATCATTGTACTGCGCTTATTAGTATTCTGCGTCATTGATGCAAAGATAAATGACTTACATCCCATCCCTCCCATTTGTCGCAACATTCCCATCCAGCTATGACCATCAATCCCATTTCGTCGGCCAAATCATATAATTCGGGTTGCTCCTGCTTGCCCTCCAGTCGGACGGTGTTCAGTCCTATGTCGAGCATATACTGGAAGATATTCCGTACACGATTGACATCAAATCGAAGAAACAAATCAGGCGTGTACCCTCCACCGAGAACGAGAAATGGCGATCCGTTCACGGTAAATGCTGTGTCGTTGTGGGAGTTGACATGAGACTCTACCTGGCGAATGCCAAACCGCCTTTGAAGCGCAACATCCGATATCTTCCCCTTGCCAACTGCCGCATTGACATTGAGTGTGTACAAGGGCTGGGACCCCCATTGCGCCGGCCACCACACCTTGGGCTTTTCGATCCTGACATTCATAGGTATGGTCTTTGTTTCATGTGGCTGGATAGAGAATCGCTCGGAAAGCGAAAAGCTCTCGGTGCCAGACTGGATGGTCCCCTGTACAGTACCGTTGACAGTCTCATTCTCATGGTTCGTTACATCCACGATAACATTCACCGTGACCGGCTTTCCATCAGGGTTTTTGAAGTAGGTCAACACACGCGGTGACGAGATCGACACGGGCCCCGTCTTTGTGATCATGACATCCCGCCACAGACCCGTGCCATTATCCGCTGGATACGGATTCCAATCCACGAATCCCTGCGCGAAATCCCGGAGATAGTTTGTCGGATACGCCTGGATGAGCAGTGCGTTTGATTTAACCTGCAGGTATTTCGTAATGTCGTACGTATGACCGCCGTACGACCCCTGCTGAACGGAGCTGGGTGCAACCAGCACCCCGTTGACGTATATATCCGCCTTGGAGGTGATGCCATGCGTGCGAAGCAAATAATGCTCTCCTTGGCCTATCTTGTTCTCGATCTGGAGTTCATGTCTGTACAGCCAAGGCGCTTCGAACATGGCAGTGTCGCCGATTTTGGTTTCCATGTTGTTGGAGTAGAACAAGGTCGTCTCGTTGAAGACGCCGTTCTCAACCAAACCCGCCATGACGGTCGCCCGCGAACCAACCTGATACCAGGATGAGTCGTCCATTCCTGGCAGTGACCACGCAGAGACGTTGGACACCGCAAGGGAGGAGTGCAGTCGCCATTGACTGAGCTTGGTTGTATCCCCTATCGTCTCGCATATCCCATGGACGACAGTTACTCCAAACACCGCCACATACAACGCATATAACAAAATAATCCAACCCATTTTGAAGTTGATTGAATAATTGCTATTACAATAGAAGCTTTCGACAGAGGAAGAGGAGAGATGATATACCATCGAGCATTCAGTCTCAGGATCCAGGCTGCCGGCGGAGATGTCAAAGATCCCCGGTTTCGCCGATGATCCTGCAGCAGCAGCGATCCTTGCATTGAAGAACCCATTGTGGCTTGTGATAGGCTGTGTCTCATGTAACCATGGTAGTTTAAATGATGCAGTGAAGGACCGAATCCTGATCAGGTAAAGCGAGTGCCATTGTTACATCAGGGACTTGGGGCCAAACATCCATGGTTGATCAAGGCGCATCCTCCCGAAGTAAAGATATCGTTTCCTGTCAGATGATTTGTTGATTTCTACGAGCATACTGAAGTTATTATGTTGTACACAAAGTCACAAGGGAAGAACTATGGAGCTGCTGGAGAATCACTTAATAACTAGTCAGCAATTAGTAAAAATTCATTATTTCCCTTTTCGGGTCTAGTGGCCCCTTTTGTTTACTTTACTATTTAGCTGCTTCTATACCCTTATATTGTGTATACTACCATATCACACCACTATATACCATCTATCCTCATCTCTAGGGACTGCTACATCCCTAGCTTGTGCCTGGGCCTTGAGACAGGCAAAAAGAACCTGTAGGGTACCACCATGACTCATGAGACTCATGACTCATGATTCATTAAGCACAATCTAGCCTAATGGAGACCCCGCATTCCTATTTATCACTCCTCTTCCTGCTCGCAAACGCAGAACAAGACTCTCTGAATCACTTACCCAGAGACTAATTAACAAATATTGCAGTAACACAATGGCATCATCATCTCCAACCCTCAAAGAAAATGTCAGAAAGGCCTACGACAACATAGCGGTCAAGTACTCAGAATGGACAAAATCAACCTATCCAACCCGCGTTGAATATCTCCACAAGCTGCTCGAATACCTCCCGCCCTCACCAGCCGAAAAGTCAGTTCTTGAGTTAGGCTGCGGTTCAGGCCAGCCTTGTACTGCCATCCTTGCTTCCAACCCCAGTCTGAAAGTCACAGCAAATGATATCTCCCCTGCGCAGCTGGCGCTCGCCGCACAGAATCTCCCTTCTACAAATGTGGCTCTTATAGAGGGAGATATGATGGAGCTGTCGTTTGAAGACCACAGTTTTGACGCCGTGATTGGAATGTATTCGGTCATTCACCTGCCGAGGGAGGAGCAGGTGACTCTATCAAGAAGGATATACAAGTGGCTGAAGCCTGGGGCATTCTTTCTGGCGAATTTTTCGGGAGGACCTGAATTTGAGAGCTCGTTTGACAAGCAGTGGTTGGATGGGACGGATGGAGAGATGTTTTGGAGTAGCTGGGGAGAGGAAAGGACTTGTGAGGTCCTGTCTTCAATTGGATTTGAACTGATTCTCAGGGAGGTTGTCGTTGATATTGAGGAAGAGAAAGGAGAAGGAAGAGAAGTTCCCTTTTTATGGGTTCTAGGGAAGAAGTCGGATAATTGATCAGGCGATGAGAATTCATCCACACTTCTATTGCACAGTAGTTTGGGCAAATATTTTTGATAAGAGACATTGAGCCTGGCGACTACTCAAGGGAAACATGGTACAACTCAATCCGAGCAAGGTTTCACGGAACGATTGGAGAATATGGGAGATCTTTTGAGCAGGTGTGAAAATAGTCTATATAGCCTCTAGAACTGGAGTGGTCAGCTCCAGGTTTCAGAGCTCCTGCGAACTGAATGATTGGGGGAAACTATGGAAGAACTATACGCTACACGAGAACAGGGTTCGAATTGACATAGCATGTACAGAGATGACCCTAAGGCTGAGGGATAGGCTCGTGGTTTTATTGAGCTACAATGGCATATTTGTCTGCGTTGCGTGCATTTGGATTGCAGAGCATGAAGGTAGATAAGGATCCGGCCTGTAGGATTCAAAGGACATCGCTCTTTCGTCGTTTTGCACCAGCTCTTGGGCTGCTTTTACTGACAGTCCTTGTCGCTCGGTCTGGAGTCAAGAAAGGGTTGGCACCGTTGTGCTCTGCTTTCGGGAGTTCAGACATTTCATGGACAGCAGTGGCACTTTGATAGCCTCGGGTAATCCTTGAGACATTGATAGGTTCATGAACGCTCACTGAGCGCCTTTTGGAGGGCGGTTCTTGTTCGTCTGGCATCTCTGCTTCACTGACTATGTCAGGAAGGATCTTGAGTCCTGGTGAATTCGAAGCTCTCCTAGGGGCCTTCTTGCCTGGTGTCCGAGAAATGGTTTGCACTTTTGTCAATTGACTGTCACTGGGAGTGTCGCCTAATTCTCTCGTAATCCTCCAATAGGCAAGAAAGCAAGGTATGCCATAGTACAAAATGGATTCGCGGGGTGCGTTACTCGAGAGCCAGAGCCAAAACATCAACAACAAAAGCATATTCAAATGAGTCGTCGGGGCCCACAACGAAGCGGCTAGGCGTGTCATCTTCTCGCAGCCGTCAATGAGAATCAAAATGCGACTCCCAAAGCGCGGCCACATCAAGTATATGACTTGTCGGAGAAACCCCCAGCCAATCCTCATGCGACATTCGTACTCGAAATGATCAAAATCTGTCACGTCCGCCCATGCTTTCAAGCGTAGCCTGAGACATGCTTGACATGAGCTGGAACCAATGTCCGCGGCGGAGCGACATTCAGTGCTGGGGCACCTGGGATGGCTAAAGTCTTTCCCTCCCAGAAGACGAAGTCTATCCCTCCAGAAAGGGGACAGTTGGCGCTGCGCATCGTATGGATTGCACTGCAGCCAGCTGGACCAGCAGTTGAGGATTTCTAAGGCCTCCTGCACGCTTCCAGTAAAGTATTCTCGGTGGGACGTAAAGCAAGGGCAGTCGAATGAATACCTCATATTGGCGAGTTCAGCGTGCGCCAGCGACTCCAAACGATTGAACCAAGGAACTGGCAGTCCCCGGGGTACGATATCCAGCAATTTGAAAGTTGGATGTTTGCATTTACCTCGGTGCGCCTTTGCACGCTGCAACGGACTTTCAGATTTTCCCAGTTTGAAATATCCTGCCTCATTGCTCGGATCCGCGTATATGTAGGCATGCCCTTCCTTTTGTCCTTCTGTTTCCGTGGCGGTCTTCAAGATAACCTCCTTGATTTTGATTTCCAGCTTCCAAATCGGCATTGGTCCTATGGAGGCTGAGGGAGTACTTGCGAGAGATGGTCCGGTGTCACTGCTTTCCGAAGAAGTACCGCCATTTGGACTGTCCATTGGCAATTTGGGAGGCCTATGAGGTGTGTGGTGCGCTGCAGCATTGAGATTTTATTAGCGCACTGCCAGTGGTGACTTGGCTCAAACAAGGATTCCCACCCAGATCGCTGTTATTTACGTTCAATTCTCTGGTATTCTCGCCTTCACCCAGCGTTTCCACGTTGGCATCTCCTCCCGAAGGAGATACATCTCGGCTATGGCGCCGGAGCTTTCGGGGTTGCAATCTGGCCGCACCCCGAGGGGAGGGCGATGGACTGTTTTCAGATAGCTGAGGAACAGATCCATGAAGCGCCTCCATATCCGAGGCATCTGATCCATCAGAATCGGATATAAATATGGGGTCCTCGATAGAATTACCCGATTCTGGCGGTGTTACCAGAGTAGGATATAAAGCAGTCGAGGGCGGGGTCACTGGTGTTGTTTCGTTGGACATGGCGGATGCTTCAGGCGAATTTGGCGTTTATTTGAAAATGAAAGAAATCAAGCCTCGCGAACCAGCGCTCGAGAAATGGAAGGAATATATGCATCCAGCTGGGCCGCACAATCTCATTCCCACATTTCAAATGTACCCCTACCCCTGGCAGGGCTGTGAACCGCCTGGAGAACAAGAGAGCCTCGATGGATAGCACAGCCCAGGTCACTGTGTCTTGCCTGCCTGTCTACACCAGCCCGCGCACCCCATTTTATGGCACCATGTCGCTATCAGCCTTGGAGACAGTTTTAGGACGAAAACCCTTGTCGCAAGCTGCAGTTGGTCAAACATATATATGGTCATCCACCGCGCGAGCTTTCGTAGGAATGAGGGTTGGCTGTTAGTGCCTGGCGCTACTGCATGTACACTGCCCCGTGCGTTTCGAATTTGACAGGGGTTGGTTCTTTTTTTGTCACCAATGCTTGCTGGTTTAGGGGCTGGGGCGCAATGTGAGGTATTCCTCCTTTACTGATATGCATGTTATTCCGGGCAGCACTAATTTCCGAAGGCCCTGCGGCCTGGGAGGGAAAGCGCTCACCTTGGCTTTTGTATTGCACCTTGCACTAATTCTCCGGGAAAAGTGAGGGATACCATGGGATGAACCCCTAGCTATGTAACATTTATATACCTACCATCCCCAAACCATGTGTACAGTATACTACCTACACTTACTGGTGCTGCAGAATCACTTCATCATCCATGATCGATGTTATTCATCTATATATTGCTGATGCGGAGAGAAGGAATGCCCCCCCATCTGCAAGGAATATCTGTGTGCTGACAGTTAAGTACAATCATTGATATACTCTATAGGTAAGCTGCAATTATCCCTGTGGAGCAATACATGCCCAGTCAGAGACTTAATCGCAATCTACTCTTGAGCCAAGGCATTAGCTTGTACGGCCTGCCACACTGGAGGTTGTCCAGAATCAAGTGAATTAACAGCATGTTGTACCAATTGAGGCACTCAAGATAAACTGATATAAACTGAAAACATGTATATAAAATTCCTTCCATGATTCCATCCATAAAAAGGTCACAAATCCTTGTTCTCCAGCCATCTGTAGCCCCACTAGATCCGGAGCGGGGAAGGTCCTTCAGCAGCTAGACGATCCGCCTGCACCTGTTAATATAGTGTTCTCGAGGAAGGAAGGCGTGGACGGACCTGAGTTACTTGCTGTATGCCGTTGCAGATGAACAAGAACCGCAAGGTCGTCCCTGGTTGACCTTAACAATGTTCTGTTGAGGCGTCTTCGTGTTCAGTTGGCACACGGCCCCTGGGGTGTGGGAGCGGACACGCTCATGTCGAACATGGCCACAGCTGGAACGAAACTCTTTCCAGTCGCACATCTGTGAAACATTCTTAGCCAATGCCCCAAAACCAAGTCAAAGGTAAATCTGACCTCTGAATGTCAATAGAATGTCAAGTCCTGTGTAAAAATGGTTGTAGACCAGAGGAGGCACTGGAGTAAGGGAGATATGACGGCCATTAATATACTGATGGCCAAGAAGTGCATCCAGCATCAATCGAGGCCTAAAGATCAGTAGAGAAGCATCCTCTAAATTACTGGATTGCGGTGGAAGACTTACAGATGGCTATAATTGGCTACAGCATGATATCTGCATTAAAGTGATTCAGGATAAGAAACATGAGGACTATCTATTGGACTAGTATGATGTCTAATTTCTCCTACCAACCCGGCAAAGTCCAGCATCATCCCAATCCTCACTTCCCACTCCCTTGCGAGCAATGAAGAGACCAGTGGGATCCCATTTCTGCTTGATCCGGTACAGACGCGGATAATTGCTTCCCCAGAACTCAGTCTGGAAATCTGGCTCGTACGCATTCGCCTCGTTCATATACGCCCCCATCTTCCTTCCCTCAACAGCCTTGAGGATCGGCATCTCAACATCGGTCAGACGACGAATAATCGCATTCCGTTCAGCGAGGGTGGCAGATGGCGGCCAGGCGCGAGCAAAATCGATATGGGTGCCGGCTTTCCTCCACGCTGGGTTCAAAGCGCTGTCGATAGTCCGTCCGTTCTTGGCGACGAGGCCTCCGGCGACGATGTGGCCGGTGATACCTTGTCCAGGGTCGAACCTGAGCTTCTTCAGGGCGGAGACAAGTTTCTTTGGGCCGTCGCGCGAAACGAGCAGGTCGCGGGAGAACAATCTCGAGCCTAAGATAGTATTATGACCAGTTGGGTCTTCACCACCGGGAAGAAGGAGCTCTGAGAGCAGAGTATGAAAGTTGGGGAAGGACAGGGACTCATATTGCGTGAAGACACCGGACGTTGTATTCAGCTTTGATCTGAATGGCGCATAGAGACGATCCATCATTGAAGTGCTGGTTTGATTCGCAGCCATCAGTATGATTGACAATGACGAAACATTCATTGTATTGTCCACTGGCACGTTGGGCGTCATCCAATAGTACCCACCAGCCCTGTCGTTCATGGCTGGTAAAGCGGCATGGAAGTCCGTCATGACCTGCCAGAAATTGGGATCACCGGCCACAGTGCTGACATTGAGATTGCCAAAGACGACTGGAACCTCGTCGAAGGTACGCAGAGTGACTGTCACAACTACGCCAAAGGTGCCGCCCCCTCCGCCGCGTAGAGCCCAGAAGAGATCAGTGTTCTGATAGTTGTTCGCGATAACCAGATTGCCCTATGATAATATTAGCCAGCATTCTTTAGCGTCAGGATGGTCACATACCTCAGCACTCACGACAGTGTATTCGAGTACATTATCAGTAGACATGCCCTTCCAGGGTCCCAAGAACGAATGCCCTCCTCCCTGGATATACCCCCCAGCAGCACCGACAGTATGCGAAAGGCCAGCAACGAGTGTCTTGCCTTGCTTTCCAGCAGCAGGATACAGCTCCTGTAAACTAACACCAGCCCCGATTGTGATGGCAGAACCCTCTGACATATTCTTTGGAGCACCGGCCGGTTTGAAATCCTCGCTGAACTGAATATCCTTCATCCTGTTGGTGAGAATCTGCAATGACTCTGGTGCCGTCGAGCGACCTAGAAAGTCATGGCCAGAGTTCTTGATGACAAGGCGAAGATTGTGTTTCTTGGCGAATCGAACAGCTTCTTGGATATGGGATGCGCACTCGGCTGCGACCGAGTACAAAGAAACCCTTCCCTGTCCACAAGGCGTCTGACGAGGACTGTCGATTGAGCATGTCTGATTGTGCTCCAGCCATGATTCCCAGTTTTCCCATTGCACTGCGCCAGGCTGCGCCGCTCGCCAGGTGGAATTATACCATTGCTTGGTGACGAAATCGCAGGCTTCGGGGTCTCCTCCATGACAGGGGGCGGCCACCGGCCGGACGGCGAAGAGATTACCATCAACGGAGCTGTTAAGGGCATTCCACTCTTGTGGAGAGGGCCAACAGGGTTCATGGTGTCTGCAACGACATGAAGAATTGGAACTGGCAAGAGCCAGTGCAGCAAAAGCGAGACTCAATAATGGTTTCATAGCAGCTGTGTATCCTGTAGATATGCTTTGGCTATGTTGGAGAATAATTGGGGAAAGCTGGCACCCATGAGGAACAGCACGCCTCCTATATTTACTACTCCTGGAGTTGCCATGTATGGTACCGAGTACGACAATCAATGGATCTAAACATGCGCATGCCTTGGCCTTCGTACTCGCTAACGTCCAGATCAGGAAATAAATGACCAAATCTATGGTCTAGCTGATCGAACATTTATCTGGAATGAATAATAAGCAGGATGATAGGCGTCACCGTCCCTTCGCTCGTATTCGCTTGGGTTGTTGCAGAGGGTTCGGTGGATAAGGCTGAGAGTGGGTCATACATTGAAATGTCCTTATTCGGATAAGATTATCCTTACCCTTTCCTCAGCCACAGTCGAAACGCATGTCATAATTATTCAACTGAGAACAACAGTCCCGCAGAGCTGCTTCGTATCTTGGCCAAGCAAGTAGGCTGCAAGATTCTCTGTCAGGTCTGTTTGCACTGCCCTGTACTTTTCAAACGAACATGACCTTTCTATACCATTGGAACGGAAGACTCAGGGCCACGCAACTGGGTCAGGAGGCCAGCTGAGACATATTACAGTAGTTGATAGTAGAGATATGCAACACAATGGATTCCGGCTAATTAGCTCTGGAACAGTTGAGAGATGTCAAGTCAGCAGTATGTTAAGCAGGAAGTTTCAGACCAGTCACCTCCTCGCAAGCCTTGACCACCTTCTCCTGCAAGTTGATGTCCTGTCACAGACCCATGGTTTGGTGAGGTCTATCTTGGACTTGTATGCATGTCATCGCCAGTCAGAGGCGGCGATTTCAGCCAGCCTTTTGCTGATAGCTCTGTGGCTCAGCTGGACCAGCTGTTTGTCAGGGAGAGAGAATGATCGCCTGACACCAGAGGATTGTGGGGTTGAGAGTAGTCGATGAGGTTCCTCTTACTGCTTTTCCTCTATCTCTTTCAGTTTTCAGCATTGTTGATCTGCCTGTGGTGTAGACTGGAGCTAGTTGCAAAAGTCCGTGCTTTTTTAATTTTGCCTTGTCTTAAAATGCTGCTGACTTAGTTACTGAGGAAAATATTATTATAGAGTCTCCCTTTCGAGCATATGTATATGTATGAGAGGATCATGGCTTTCTGAACTATATTTTGTCAACAAAATCCTGCCAGACTCATATTATCTCCCCATTTTGCAGTCGACGAGAGAGGAAGCCGGGCATATCGACCAAATAACCCCAATCATCCTTGTGTCACGCTGGCAATCTCCCTTCCACAAAGACTGCCAAAGCCGCTTTCCGAATGGCATTCATTGCAATCAGGTATAGATCATCCCCTATGCTGACGCGCGCGACGCCGAGTTCCGCCAGCTCCAACACAGTTGGGTCGCCAGCATAACCACCTAGGTTCGCAGCGACCCTGCCGTTGAGCTCCTTAACCAATGTCTGGAGATGAGCCTTTGTTAGTCCTCTTCTTGGGCCCCCCAAATAGAATACAGTCGTGGCTCCAAGTTCGAGGAAGGCCTTTCCGCGGATAATTGCTTCCTTCAGTCTTGCATCGTCATCAAGGTCAGGGTCGTCAAGGGCAAAAATGTCACAGCGAGCATTGAGGACAAAATCAGGGCATCCAGCCTCTGTAGCTGCTTTAAGGGCAGATTTAAGGCGACGAACCTGCTCGTCTAACGGGTACATCTTTCCGTAATCAGTTGAAGAGATGCTATCTTCGATATTAGCGCCTGAGACACCAGCCTGGACGGCAGTGGTGACGACTTCTTCGATTCGGGAGCCATATCCATCTTGGAGGTCTGCGCTTAAAGGCAAGCCTGCCTGTTGGCACAGGTGAGCGATCTGTCTGATTGCAGCAATGTTCTGCAAAAGGTAAGATCCTCGTCTTTACATCCGGCAGCTCCAACGATTGCCGACGACGCCGTAGCAATTTCTTTCACTGCTTTATTATCGCCCTCGTTGAGAGACAGGACTGTGTTAAATGACAACACGTCCCAGACGTTGGTAAAGATAATCGGGGACTTGGAGACATGCATTGCCTTGAGAGCCTTAGCTGCGCAATTTACTGAGGCCATTTTGTTCAGACGGAGGTGGTTGAGCTTCTTGCCAGATGGGAATTGCATTTGAGGTTCCAATGAGAGCCTGGTGGAATTTAAATAACAGTATACCCTGTCAAGAGTCGTCAAAGAAAGGGCGTGAACATGGCCCCGCAAATATGAGCGTCTGAGCTGATCGACACGGTCTTAGTGCCTGTCTTGATGATGGATGATAATAACATCACCATTAGACCTCAGCAAAACCCAACCTGGAACACCCCCCTTGAGCCCAAAACCTAGCCCAGGTAAAACCTGGAATAGCCTGCCTAAGCCTAAGCCTAGTCCTAAACCTAACTAGGCTACCTAGTTAGGCTACCTAGGTTATTTTATTTTAGTATAATTTTCCTAACTAGGCTATGCTAAGATATATAATTCTACTAACTACTAGTTAGTTAACTATTATAGGCTTTTAAAGTTAAGGAGTATAAAGTATTTAATAATATTAAACTACTAAAGAATTATAGTAATTCTAATAATAATAGTAATAAGGAAAATTAGCTACTATAAAAAGATCTACTTAATATAATAGAAGTAGATTTAGAATAAGAAGATTATAATAGTATTAATATCTATTTAAATACCCTTAGATCTTATATTCTCTATTTCTCTACTATACTTAAAGCTTCTTAGATAGTAGTCTATCTCTAAGTACTGTTAGACTGTGGCTCTAGTTATATATTTATATTAAAATATTTAGCTAATTTATTACCTTCTTTATGGTTTTAATTCTAATAAATGTCTAAGTAACTTCAGGTTTATCTACTAAATAGTAGATTTATATATATATTATATTAAGTTTAAATTCTACTTAAGTTAGGTGATTAGTGCTATATTATCACTCCCTAGGTCCTTAAAATAATAGTATCACAGGCTAGAAGCCTTATAAACCTATAACCTAGATTTAGATGGTAAGAAATTGCTAAAGGGTTCTAACTAGGGCCGCAACAACCAGATATAAAAAGGGGTATGTAAATGGTTAATATAATTATATAATAGGGTTGATTATTATATTAATTGCTATAAGGTTACATAACTACTAGTATTCTTATTAGACCTGAGTTCACTAGTACCTAAGGCAGGTTATAAGTACTTAGTAAGCTTAAGTATTTAATAGGCCCTGCCTACTATACTACCCCCCTCTTAAATCAGGGCTAGCATGCTTCCTAAGTGTTAAGTACTACTATATTAATAAAGTTAATAGCTAGCTCCTATATAGGTTACTTATAGCCTATCTATTTAATAAGATACTCTTTCTAGTAGTCTCTACCTACTCTTTTCTTATACTCTTATAAGATCTCCTTAACTAGGAATTTAGCTTTGCCATTAACTAGCATAGCTAGCAGCTGGTAATCACTATTTAACTAACTTAGGAATAGATTATTAGTAGTAGGGTGTAGGAGGCTAATATAGAATATATTATAGATACTAGGGGGTATATCTAATTAGTATATATATAATTTAATAGCCTTAAGTACTATAAATTTTACATACTATATATTAAGCTTCTAGCTTGGGTGGTCTATTTAGATATTCTATAAATCTAGCTAGACCTTTAATTTAATAGCATACTATAGGGCTACTATATAGGAGTAGTTTAAATATTCTTTCTAGTGCTACTAGATAGTAGCTAGCTCTAACTAGGCTATATCTATAGCTTCCCTTATCTTTATTATAATTACTTCTACTCTATCTTTTAGTGGATAGGCTATGCTGGCAGTAGTAGCTATATAATCTAGTTTCTTAATCTCTAGTAGCTTAATATTATATCTATAATCTAAAAAGAATAGGCTAACTCCTATACTTATAGTATCTTAGCTATTAATAGTAAGTTAGACTATTAGTAGTAATAACTTTTAGTTACTCTAAGTATAGTTATAGAAGTTCTATAGATAGGCTTCTAATATTATATTTATCTATTTAATCTAACTATCTATCTATAGGTAGAATACTATTAAGAGCTATTATTAGATATCTAGCCTCTTATAAAAGTGCTCCTAGAACTAACTAATAAACTATAGGCTATAATTTAATATAATTATACTAGGAATACTATAGTATCTAATAAATTAGTTAATTAGTAGCTAAGCCACTATCTTAGTATTTATTTACTTATAGAGTACTAAGATTATACCTTTCCCTAGCCTATTATTAATAACTATAATATCTTTATAGCTGTTAGAAAGGGGTAGCTTTATAATAAAGTTAATAGTAATCTTATATTACTTATAATCTAGAATTAGTAAGGGCTTTAATAATCTCTATTATTATTTATACTAGACTTAGTTAGCACTATACTTATTATAGTTCTATATAAATTATTTAATATCTGCAGATAGCTCTAGCTAATAGAAGTTCTAAGTAATTATAGTATATAGTATATTCTTCCTAGGGTAATTAATAAATACTAAGTTATAGATCTCCTATAGTATTCTTATTTATAATAATTCTAAGTTAGGGACCTATTTATAGTCTTAGTATAGTAGGTGACTATCTAGTAATATAGAATATTTAGTAATTAATACCTATATATATAACTTACTAGGGAATTATATAGCTCCCTCTTCTATAGCCTATTATATTTTACTTAGTATAGTATCACCTAGCTAAGCCTCCTGCTAGTATTCTTCTAGTAATAAGGGTATTTTGCTTACAGATACTGTGCATGAGGTTATATAATAAATTTAATTATTATATAAATTATTATATTTACTTAGCAGCCTTATATCTAAGTTAGATACCACTTTATAATTATATAATATCTATATATACACCTGGCTAGTGATAACCCTGAGAGATATTAAATAATAATTATATACCTTAAGTCTATTATTATCTATATCCTATAGCATATCTTACTCCCTATATAAAAGGATATCTAGATAGGTAGCTAGCTTCCCTAGCTAGTAGTATATCTTATAATTAAATCTACTTAGTATATATAACTAGTGCATCTATTATTTATTAAGCCTTTAAATAGTCTTAAAGTATTTAAGATTATAATAGTCTGTAATAAGCTTAAATTATAGTAAACTAATTAATTCTAACTCCTATTCTCTAAGGGTGTTAATAATAGCTAGTAGCTCTTTATTATAAATCTTATAATTATACTCTACTAGTGTGTTCTTCTTAGAGATATAGGCTACTAGTCTTAGTATACTATTATTATTATACTATAATATAATAGCTCCTATTAACTAGTTAGATATATCTATCTCTACTACTATTATTCTATTAGGGTTGAACTGCATAAGAATTAGGACTATAGTAAATATCTTTTTTAATAATTTAAAGACCTTTATCTATTCATCTTCCTATATAAAGAAGGTACCCTTGTGGGTTAAAGCTATTAATAATTATACTATTTCTAAGAAATCCTATATAAATTATTAGTAGAAGTTTATAAAGCTAAGGAATAATTATATACTATAGGCTAATATAGGGGCTTATTATTCTAGTATAGCTTTTACCTTATCTAGATCTATCTATACTCCCTTACTAGCTTTAATAATAAAGCTTAGGTATTTCATGCTCTTTACTTTAAACTTATACTTATTAATATCTAATTATAACCCTGCATTCTTTAGATACTCTAATACCTAGTGGATGTGCTGCCAGTGCTTAGCTAATAAACTATTAGTAAAGATTAATATATTATTAATATAAGTAGAAGTAAATTTATCTAGGAAGTCTTATAGTATCTAGTTAATATATTATTAGAAGGTGCTTGGTGCATTTACTATACTAAAGGAGGTAATAAGCTATTTAAATAGACTAAATTAGATATAGAATACTATTAGCTATTTATCCCTAGAGGTAATATAAATCTTATAAAAGATAGTAATTATATCTAGCTTAGTAAACTACTTTACCTTTAAGATATATTCTAGGGTCTTATTAATTAAGGGGAGTGGATATTAGTCCTTCTTTATAATAGTATTTAATATATAATAATTAATATAGAATTATAGTCCTCCTCTAGGCTTATAGGTAAATAGTACTAGTACTATAGTAGCAGAGCTACTAGCATAAATAAAACCCTTTTCTAGTAGCTCTATTAGTATCTTCTATAGTACTAGAAGTTTCCCCCTATAATATACTATAGAGTAGTCCCTATAGTAGCTCTATTAGCTTTTCTTTTTTATCCTTAATTAGCTTAATATAGTAGTTAATACCTAGTTAATATAGTGGTAGCTTATCAGCCTTCTTCTAGTTAAATATATCTAGGAATTTATGGTAGTATACTAGCAGCTTTATAATAGGGTTAGTATACTTCTTAACTTATAAGGCCTTTTTAATATCCTTAATACTAGTAGTAAAGATCTAGATAGTCTTATCCTTTCTTTACTACTAACTATAGGCTGCAAACCCTTGGGCACTAACCTATTTAATTACTAGTTTTAGCTTATTCTTAGTACTCTTAATAGTAGATCTATCTATAAGCCTTAGTTAGGGTCCTTTAGCTTTCACTATTACCCCTTAATCCCTTATCTATAGAATCCCTAGAATTAAATTAGTTCTATTGCCTAGCTTCAGTACTATATACACATAGACTATATATTAGTAGTTACCACTAATATCTAGGGAGAAGTAAGTAATTATTAAAATAACACTTCCTATTATACTAGTATAGTTTTCTAGATTAATTAGCTTAATCTTAATCTACTCTAGTTATAGCTTCTATACAAAGCATTTAGCTATAACTATATAAGATATATATCCTATATTAGGTAGGATTCTATAATTATACTCCTTATTAATTATGCTAGATACAATGAATTTAGGGATATTAAATCTAACAGTTTATTAAAACTATCTATAATTAATAAGTATATCTTCTTCTTTAGGACATGGGTGACACTAGCTTTCTAGTTATATTAACTATTTAACCAGCCCTTGTGAGAGTCTTTTCATAGAAGCAGCTAGTTTTCTAACTTACTAGCCTTATTAGTGGACCCTAAGCCCTGTGGGTTTACTTTATT